AATGTCGCAACTCAAGAGGCTCCAACTGTTCTGCATTTATCCGTATCTGCGACGAAGGAGAAGTGACTTTTCGCATGGACATTAGTACCAAATGTATACAAACTGTTTCAACCGGACTCTAAACACGGCTTGTCGATTCTATTCTCCGTGCTGTTGACCGTTAGCAGGGCCGGTGCAAGGGTCTCGTGCGCCTTCACTGAATCTATGATACGGGTACCTCACTATACTACATCTCAAATTTTATAAGGTAGTATTCATATAAAATGCAAATTTTGTTGTAACAATAATGGATCATATACAAGTATGACACAGAGAGCCCACCTCCTAAATCTATGATATGCTCCCCCTAACACACACACACACACGCTACATCTCAATTTTCATAAGGTAGTATTCATATAAAATACAAATGTTATTGTTACCTAATTAGTCAGTTGTGTAGAGTTTAATTTGTAACGTATATAAATATAGGTAGAAATAAGCAAATGATAAAATTATCGAGGGTCTGAAAGTACTGCAATCGGCATTGCCCCCCTCCCCATATACACCGGTTGAGAGGTTCGAGGGTAGTACGCGCGTATTAGTACACACACACACACCTCCATGCCAGCCAGACTTATTGCATATATATGGTATATATATATATATATATATATATATATATATATATATATATCCTATATCTCGGCAATGATTAGCCTATTAGTTTCTGGATCATTTCTAGTGTAATGAGTTCGAATCTCACTTGGTATCACACTCTTCTAATCCTGTGTCATACTAAATTAAACTGAATATCTATGCAAGCATAGGACTTACGGGTACATTTAACCATTTCAACTGTAAAATAATGAGATCTTGCCGCTAATCGAGTACTACGCTTAAATTCATAAAGTCTAGGTAGCAAAAGAGGAAAGGACTATTACGATGAAAATATTTATAGAAAAAACATAAAGAAGCTACGTTACAGGTTTGGGAAAGTGACTGAAACCGAAATGTCAGGTCAGGATCAATAACATTGCAGATTATTCTTTCTATTTTATCAAAACTCTCTAAACACATAGACCAGATTTATATAAAAGTTTTAGAAGCTAATACTTCCAAACAAAAAACGGAAAATGAAGTTTCCTGATTTATTTTAGAAATTAATGGCAATAACGATTTTAGACAATTGATACCTCTCAGCTCAAAGAGCACTGATGTAGACTGAGGCCAAGACGAGAACTTCTGTTGAGTTCTCAATTTCAGCAAAAACTGGGTTTCTTCTGGCCCCCAGCCCCACCTGTACGGCTGTGGAGGCTATAAAGTAGATTTGTTTCCAGTGCATATTATGCTAAAAGGTACATATGTCTTTGTAATATGTAACAAATTTACGTCACTGGACGTTTCATTATTATAATTAATGAACGTTCCAATAGAAAAAAAAGAAAACATTTTTTGGGAGTCAGTCTTCATTACTCAAAATTGGGTTTGGAACTCAAGTAAACGTCCGGTCATGAATGGTAGAATTTAAAGAAGTCAATTGCTGAGTTTGCTGCTAGGAAAGTTGGTTTAATCTGTCGTTCTAAAAAAATTCTCACGCTACGCCAGAATCTATATTACACGTTTATAAGTCTACAATTCAGCCGTGCATTGAATATTATTGTTACATCTGGTCTAGTGTTTTTGCTATGGATCTATTGACTCTTGACAAAACTTGCAATGTTACTGGTCTTGATCTGGTATCTTGGTTACTATCACCGTAACGTAGTTTCTCTGTGTCTTTTTTATCAATATTTTCATAGCAATTGTTCTGATGAGCTTTCCTCTTTGATATCCCGACTTTACGAATTTAAGCGCAGTATTAGATTGGCAAGTAGGTCTCAACATTTTACTGTTGAAATTAAGAAATGTAAGCGTAAGCTCTATTCTAATAGTTACTTCTCTTGCACATCTCTCCTGTTTCTTGCTTTCCCGTTAACTATACTGTTAAAAAAATAAATGCAACGTCAATCGTCATCTTCTGTCTCCTTGAATCGTGTTCTTTTTATTGTCCTTTATCCTCAGTAACACTACCTCGGTTTCTTCCATTCTCAATAACTTCTAACGTCTTAGTGGCTTAATCATCTTTGAGCGAAAAAAAAGTAGCGCCAAGCACTCAACGATGCTACAAAATTTTTAAAAAACTGTTTTAAGAAAAAGAATATAAGTGAAAGGAAATATAATTAAGTCTTAAAAACTCTCGTGGAAAATAATATTCTGTGATGTCAATGACTATAGCTGTTGCGATACCGGATAACTAGCAATCAATTAATCGATTTGTACAGTTACTTATATCTTAATTTATTTTGTTTATGTACATAAGCGTATACATATGTATAATCTTGCTACGACTAAACACACACACACACACACACACACACACACACACATATATATATATATATATATATATATATATATACATATATCCAAATGAGAGACATGAAAGCTTTTGTGTAGCGATTTAAAATGTTTTTTTGTG